AGAAAAAAAAGGGTGACGACTTCACAATCTAGACTCAATTAGTGGAGAGAATATGAGTGATCTTGGAGCTCTAACGACAACATGTTTTGACCAAGATGACAATTCAATCGAGCCTGTAAATTTGGATTGGATTGTTATCACGGTCTGAACATGTTGCCGTTAGAGCTCCAAGATCACTCCACTTCTCTCCGTTAATTGAGGCTAGATTGTGAGAATTTTCACCCTTTTTTTTCTTAAAGAATATTATGTATCTTTGATTCTTTATATCTTCGTTGACTCTCACAATTGTTGATAGTGCCCAGCTGTGATAGGTTGCTAATAGGTATAAGGTAACATATTTTTTTTAAAGGAAACTCTTTTTCAAATTTTTTAGTACATTTTTTTTTATTGTTGACGACTTTTACGCCCACAAAAAAAGAAAAAAAAAAGAGTGTGAATTGAATAAGGGACCCACCCCGCCGTGCCAAGCATTGGCCCGAGGCACTAAAGCATTAAGGAATCTCTATAGGATCATAGGTCCCGATAAAAAGTGCCAACCACCCTGTCACTATAATTAGCCATTGGAAAAAAATAAATGTTGTTGAGATATAAAAAAATGGAAAGGCAACAGTATGATCAGTTGTATCTTATTAAAAATTATAATTTTAAAAAATATGATTGATTATAAAAAATTATAATTAATATCAAAAATATATTATCGATCATAGGTGTCTGTAATCAATTATGACCNTTTAAAATATAAATTATAATTTTAAAAAATATGATTGATTATAAAAAATTATAATTAATATCAAAAATATATTATCGATCATAGGTGTCTGTAATCAATTATGACCTTTCTTTTAACAATTATAAATTCTCAACAGTTATAAAAGTGGTAACCAACAATAATAGTATCCAAAAAAAAAATTGGTATGGTAGAATTTCTCTACTAATATAATTATGTTTTAAACAATAAAGTCCCAGTAAAAAGTTTTAAAATTTTACTTTTATTATAGTATCAGATCACTACTACATTATTAAATTAATAAATTAAATAAGTTTTTTATATTCTAATAATGTAACTCTTGGGGAGTACACAAACACATTATTTTAATAAATATTGTGGCTCAAAGAAACGTCGTGGTGGTAAATATTTGGGCAACTATTTAATAAAAAAATAATAAAAATAAGGTTTATTTTTTATTATGATAGTGATTATATATTATATAAATGATTGATTATAAATTTTAATAGGGCGAATTTATTAAATAAGGTAGGGTAACAACTAAGCTACATATTTTTTCGTGCTAGGGATGGATCCATCCTACCCTCAACTTATGATCCAAAAAAAAAAAATTAATATTATATGAATTTAAAAATTAAACTTAAAAAGTAAATTTGATAATTTTAACTATTAAATAAATAACGGATTCTAATAAATATTGAGACTCACAATAATATAATAATTGTAATTATTAAATTTTATTTTTAAATTTATTTTTTAAGTCTATATNCCCAAAAAAAAAAAATTAATATTATATGAATTTAAAAATTAAACTTAAAAAATAAATTTGATAATTTTAACTATTAAATAAATAGTAGATTCTAATAAATATTGAGACTCACAATAATATAAATAATTGTAATTATTAAATTTTATTTTTAAATTTATTTTTTAAGTCTATATAATATTTCTTAAAAAAAACACCTAACCTTGACTTTGTTTTTTTTGAGCTGGACCTAACCTTGACTTGACTTCACTTTAATAGATGCAGAGATAGCCATCCCATAGCATGTCAGGTCATCTATTTTTACGGAAGGTAAAGTCAGAGAACGCCAAATTTCTTTCCTTACGCTCTGTTAAGAGAATCCCACTTCACAACACCTCCTTCCTCGAAACTTTCCTACTCCTTTAAAAACCCACAACTACAATCCACCATTTCACACAAATTCTTGTAGAAAAAGCAACCTTACTGGTAGTAAACAAAATGGCTAAGCAGAACTCCAACATCCCTGAAACAAGCTCCTCTTCTGCTCTTGTTCCTATACATGTACAACCCATATCCATGATTGATGATGAAGAACTGGCTATTCCAGTTGAGGCACCGATCGTGTCGTCTTACAATGATCGAATACGTCCACTGCTTGATGCAATTGACAAGCTCCGCCACCTCAAGGTCATGCAGGAAGGTATACAGCTTCCAACAATTGTGGTGGTTGGTGACCAATCGTCCGGAAAGTCCAGTGTTCTTGAATCACTTGCTGGCATCAACCTTCCACGAGGCCAAGGCATTTGCACTAGGGTGCCACTCATAATGAGGCTTCAGCATCACTCAGATCCTCTCCCGGAGCTTCACTTGGAGTTTCTGGGCAGAACTGTCCAGACTGATGAGACCCATATTTCTGATGCCATAAATCAAGCAACTGATGAGATTGCTGGNTCGGAGCTTCACTTAGAGTTTCTGGGCAGAACTGTCCAGACCGATGCGACCCATATTTCTGATGCCATAAATCAAGCAACTGATGAGATTGCTGGCTCTGGTAAAGGTATATCACACACCCCATTAACGTTAGTTGTGAAGAAAAATGGCGTACCTGATCTTACAATGGTTGATTTGCCTGGAATCACTAGGGTGCCTGTTCATGGGCAGCCTGATGATATATATGAGCAGATATCAGCCATAATAACAGAGTACATAAAACCAGAGGAGAGCATTATCTTGAATGTTTTGTCTGCAACTGTTGATTTTCCGACTTGTGAATCCATTAGGATGTCACAGCGTGTGGACAAGACCGGCCTGAGAACTCTGGCTGTTGTTACCAAAGTCGACAAAGCTCCCGAAGGTCTGCTAGATAAAGTAATGGCAGATGATGTGAATATCGGGCTTGGCTATGTATGCGTTAGGAATCGCATAGGCGATGAATCTTATGATGAAGCTCGAAAGGAAGAAGCTAATTTATTCGAAACCCACCCGCTTCTCTCAAAGATTGACAAATCTATTGTGGGTATTCCAGTTCTGGCCCAAAAGTTGGTGCGAATTCAAGCTACAATAATAGCAAAATGCTTGCCAGAGATTGTTAGAAAGATCAATGACAAGCTCAGTGCAAACATTTCAGAACTCAACAGAATGCCCCATAATCTGACTTCTGTTCCAGAAGCAATGTCTGCTTTGATGCAGATTATTGGTTCCTCCGTGGAGTCTCTTAGGAAAGTGCTCTTGAGAGGTGAGTTCGAGGAATACCCAGATGACAAACACATGCATTGCACTGCTCGTCTTTCAGAAATGCTCAATCAGTGCGCTCGGGAATTGCAAAAGAGTTCAGAAGATAACTACAAGGACAATTTTCTAATGGAGGAGATACGAATTCTTGAGGAAACCAGAGGCATTGGGCTACCAAATTTCCTTCCTCGCGCGGCTTTTCTCATGATCCTGCAGAAAAAAGTAAATGAGATATCAGGAGCACCGGTTGAGTTTGTCTGTAAAGTATGGGAGTACATTGAGAAAGTGGTGGTTGCTGTTTTAATGCGTCACTCTGAACATTATCCACAGCTAGAGTCATCTACAAGAAGAGCAGCCCAGATCCTTATTGCCAAGAGGAAGGATATGTCAGCTGATCGAGTGGCGGAGATAATTGAGATGGAGAAGATCATAGATTATACTTGCGATCCTGAATATCTGACAGTATGGGGTAAGCTCATGGCTAGTAAAAACCTCTTCCTTGATGTTATGAATAATTATTCGAGGTCCACACTGATCACCATTGATGGTTTTGGGGAAGTTGAAGTTGGGCATTTAAAGTCCTTCCCTAATATTAGAGACCAAGCATTTGACATAAAAATGAGAATTGCAGCATACTGGAAGATTGTTCTTAAAAGACTCGTTGATTCCATGGCTCTGAACCTACAGTTCAGTGTTAAGAATCTGGTGAACAAGGACATGGAGACGGAGATAGTGAATGAACTCATGGGTCCTCATGGTGGTGGACTTGAAAGGTTGCTAGAAGAATCGCCTTCGGTGGCCATAAAGCGTGAGAGATTGAACAAAAGTATCAAGCTGCTGAAGGACTCTAAGGAAGTTGTTGCTAAGGTCATGGACAGAATTGCCATCAATGCTGATTAGGCTTTCCCTATAGCATTGCTCTTGCCTGAAATCCCATATCATTGTGATGGGAAACTCTTCGGTGGCATTATTGTTATGTTTGTGTGTTTGGTAGTGTGTTTCTAATCTATAATGAATTCCAATGTACTGGAAAGTATTATGCGGTAGTAGATGATATTGTCTTGTCTGTTTCAGCTGGTGGATTTGTAATTAGTCTTTAATTCAGATGCATTGGTTGAGAATGGCTTAATGATGAGTAAATCTATTTGCACTTAAAATGTTGATTTAATTTGTTAAATTAATCAATTAATGTTATTAATTTAATTGTAAGTCTTAACATATATTAGAGCGAATAATATTACAATTTAAAATTTTAACCTAATCTATTGATCTGATTAATTGTAACCTATGAAATACGGATACTTCGTTGAAGTTGATGTACTCGTGTCCGATATCGTATCAGATACGATACTCGTCGGATACTCGAAGATACATATCGGATGCACCTTCTACGTATCCGATAATAATTAAATATTATGATACTTCACGAATATTTATATATAATTTTTGAGTTTAACTTTTAACATCTTTTTTCGAATTCACATACCATACAATACATTAACAAAAAATTCAAATTACTTCAAAAACACATGAGTGTTTCTTAAGTATTATCTACAATTTCATGTTAAAAGAGTATAAAATAAAGNTTGTCATCGAATAACATATATAATTTTTGAGTTTAACTTTTAACATCTTTTTTCGAATTCACATACCATACAATACATTAACAAAAAATTCAAATTACTTCAAAAACACATGAGTGTTTCTTAAGTATTATCTACAATTTCATGTTAAAAGAGTATAAAATAAAGTTATTACATTATTATCTTAACAAAAATTATTTCTAAATACTACGTAAATGTTAGTTTTGATTCTTTTAATTAGTTACTTCACTTTGTGAATATATTACAGCGATACAATATATATTTTCTTGAAACTAAAAAAAACTACTAATTTTCCTTATTGTATATTAAAGAACTACCAAAATATAAAAGTATTAAACTAGTTGAAAATAATAAAAATATTAAATATATTTTATTATATTTTGACCATACTCGTATCTTGTATTTTTAAATTTTGTCGTATCGTCATATCCGTATCGTATCATACTCATATCCTGTATTCGTATCCGTGCTTCATAAATTGTAACTATTAGATTATATTTGATAGACTCATCAATAAATCCTGTTAATATTTTAAGTTCATGATACCGAAAAGTAAATTATATTAAAAATANTATATAAAAGTATTAAACTAGTTGAAAATAATAAAAATATTAAATATATTTTATTATATCTTGACCGTACTCATATATTGTATTTTTAAATTTTGTCGTATCGTCATATCCGTATCGTATCATACTCATATCCTGTATTCGTATCCGTGCTTTAACTATTAGATTATATTTGATAGACTCATCAATAAATCCTGTTAATATTTTAAGTTCATGATACCGAAAAGTAAATTATATTAAAAATAAGTTTCAACTCTGTACTCAAATTCATACCAAACAAAAGAAATTTAAATTTTTATTCAAATCAAGAGAGTTTTGTGATCCTCTCCCTTCGTGTGTTTACGCGCTCGCACGTGCGTGTTGATGTTTTTGTTAATAGCTGCTATTTGATTTTGCAGCCCTTACACCGCAGAAAGACTGATGTCCCAAAACACAGGCAATATGTAGACAACGTTTGAGAAAGTAGTTAACTAGCAATACATGATAACATTTATAACCATTTCATACAAGGGGAATATCCACAAAATAGTAAAACCAACAGAATACCCAAGAATTTAGCCAGAAACAATACAACTTTACCTTTCTTCTCTTGCATACAATTGAAAATGAAAAAAATCTTTTCAAGAAATCAACAACGATGACAACATTTGCAATACCGGTTTAACATGTTCTGTTGTAATTCTCCCCTTTAAACACAACAAATAGAAACTCAATTTTCAGACCTCCCAAACAATTCCATTGACAATGTCTATGAACCTCTACGTGTTTTTTGTTAAAAAGAAACTCAAAATTTATGAACAAAAATCTAACTGGTATCTTTTTGTTTACCACCCAAATAAAAAAAAATTGGTCAGGCGATCTATCTCATCTCCCGAATCCGCTATAGACTGAAGTTTTGTTCATTGGGTAGCATTCGTTTTAATCTAGCTCCTATCTTCCCTTTTCAACATCTCTAGTAAAAAATCATTCCAAGTGTCAACAGGTCCAGGCAAGCACCAGTGCACACAGTCATTAACCACAGTCTTATTCTCAATTGACCAATGCCCATATTTGTCAGGATGACCATCTGGTCTCAACAACATAGGTTGTGTTGTATCAAGCAACCTAAATTTCAGCCCTCTCTTCCTGCCTACTCTTTTTGCAATCCTCAGCTCCTGCAATTGAATCATATACATCTCCAAATTATAACCATCCAAAACAACCTCATTAACACCAAAAGGCCTTGTCCTAGCACATTCTCCCCCCTTGTCCCATGGTCCATTTTCGAAGTGTGATGGTGCAAAAGTTCTCAGATATGTAATTCCTCTATAGTTTTTTAAGCTGTTAATAGCCCGAAAGGCAGTTCGGAATGCCCTCCGGTAGCTAAAGTAGGATGTCATGTGAGTAACGTTGGTCTGCAGGCAGTAAAGGCAGCCGACAAGGCGTCGCTTCACATAGAACATGCTTGGACGGAAGAACCAGTGTCCGGCAGAGATGACTACGTAATCGAATTTTTCGATCTTGGTTGTCCAATCCTCGTTGAATTCATCGAGATAGAGATTGAAGGGGCGGGTTACATCATTAGGGTCTGTCTGTTGGGTTCGTACCAAAAAGGGTGACCAGTAAATTGAAATATTGAAGTTGTAACTTCTGTATTCCCAACGTTTGAAATTTTCGTCAGCTGAATTTGAAACATCTACGGGATACACCACCTGGAAATGCAAGAAATAAAAGTTATACTCTGGGGAAAAAGTTTAATAATACACTGTGTTATGTTGTCATGCCACCCGATTTACTCACTAGTTATGTGCACCACTTAAATCCAGATTTTTTGAGGCCAAAAAGCCTCAAACTCATGATATGCGGGTTTAAGTATCGTTTCTGGTTCAAGTATTTACCAACTCGTACCCGTTAATCATGTGCTTGTGATTACATTACATCGATATTATATATCTGTCCGATAATCAATCTAATTTCATGTCACACTAAAAATGTACCGTCATGCTGATCTACCATTACGGGTGAAATGAAAAAACAAACCCTAAATGTTGCAACAATTAGCCGGTAGCTCTCAATTAATGTAGTTTGGATGACAAAGTAATAATGCAACATGGACAACTAGAATGAATCTCATGAAAAAGATAAAACCCAACAAATACTCCAATAGGAAATCATGAACAAAACTTTGAAATAAAACAATTGCATTGAGATATTGGAGTATATATATGGTGGTGAAGACTTACCCTGGATAAGAGGCATATCAACGACTGCATATGATTTCTTGCCACAGAATCTCCAACAAAGGCCAGAGACTTCCCTCTAACAAGTTCCAGGAAGTGAAATGGATCAAAGACAGGAAGCTCACAACCATCTGGTTTCCACCTCCACTTCAAGAACCCTTTATCGGGTCTCCCAAATTTCATGCAGTTTTGATGCTCCTGAATAGCCCAACACGTCTCATTTGTGTAGTATGGCGCTTCCGGGTTCCAAACCCATTCCCCGGAAAATATGTCGCATTCTAGTGCCTTTGAGGCCGACAACTCGCCACCACCATGGCTTGCCTGTCTCCTATCATTTTTTTCCGGCAGTTTTAGGGTTTCCGGGCGGCGACGCTTGCTAGGTCTTGGTGGTTTTTTTCTTACCTTTTGTGATCTTTCTCCGACCACTATTTTGAAATCTTTTTCTGGTCTCTTTTCGATCCCCAAGTCTCGTGTGATCGAGTTNTTAGGGTTTCCGGGCGGCGACGCTTGCTAGGTCTTGGTGGTTTTTTTCTTACCTTTTGTGATCTTTCTCCGACCATTATTTTGAAATCTTTTTCTGGTCTCTTTTCGATCCCCAAGTCTCGTGTGATCGAGTTAGTTGATCTTTCCGCATCTTCTTCTAGTTCGTGTGGTCTCTCGACGTTTCTTTCTCCTTCTTTCGGAGNTTAGTTGATCTTTCCGCATCTTCTTCTTGTTCGTGTGGTCTCTCGACGTTTCTTTCTCCTTCTTTCGGAGCCACAGAGTAGTGGTGGCCATGGCAGGATTGTTTGTCCTCATTTTTAAAGAGACAAGGTTCACTATCTTTCTGCTGCAAGTGATTGCGTGAAAGTGGGTCTGAAATAGCAGTCGGTCTTATTGAATCCTCAAGAGAATGATATGAAGACGATGATTCCAATAATCTTTTATGAGAGTACCGTAATGAAGGGTAATAGATGGGGATAATGGTGAAAAGAACAGCTATGGCTATCAGTGGAGCTATCTTTGGGTTCTTCGACCTTCGTGTCTGGTTTTTCATCAATGGAAGTTCAGTGGCTTGAAGTTTCATTGAAGGGAGGAGAAAGAGAGAGAGAGAAAAAGAAGAGGAGGAAAAAGAGAGGGAGAGGTTGCAGAAACATGAAGGAAGAGATTTTTGTACGCATGTTGCGGTAACTTCATAAACAAAGCAATGGTTATCCATTGGCTTATATATAGCAAGATCAATATTAAGCAAAAAATATCATCATTTTCCAAATATAGATTTTAGATCTCCATTTTGGGAAGTTCCAAAAAAACAATTCGTTCAGAAAGCCAATGTCATCATTGTATATTGGGAAAATTTCAGTTGCGTCCCTTTTAATTCATCATATTTTCTAAATACATCTTTTCTACATCATTATTAACACCCTTGTCAAATTAAAAGTGTTAACTAGAATGTAATTTTATTAAATTACCTATGATATATTTTAGAAAAAAATATTTCTATATTCTTTCTAAATAGACATATCTTT